AACTGTTTGTGGGTACCATAGAAGATAGAGCTAAGCTTTTCCAAATTCATAATTTTAGAAGTAGACTTTCTGTTTAGAATAAGAAAAGGTCTTTGGTAAATCAATGAAGAAAACAGATGCTTATCCTTCAAGAAAACCTGTGAGGAAAATGTAAATTGATGCTGTTTGATTTTGGACAAGAAAAGTATGGTACACATAGCAGGAAATGATAGAACACACTACCTGTTTTGGCTGCTAAACTAGTGTGTTCATCATGTGACATAGCAGAAAAAAATATATAATTAAAATTTTAAAAAAAAACAACAGGTCCTTTTGTTGTCAGAGTAATCAGGCCTTCTCTACTTCAAATATTGGGAAAAACATTGTATACATTTCTTTAGACTACCTGCAGAGATTCATTATGCTGCTATGATACCTAAATTATTTCTTAATTATCAAAGCCAATTTTATTAATAAATCAGTGTAGTTAATAAGGCAGCCTACTCTAAGGAATTTCTTGCCTAAAATTCCCAGCATCCCAAATAATGGTACGATAGAACAACCATTTAAGTTTTGTCTCTCCTAAATAATAAAATAACATTCATGATTAGCAAGCATTTCACTGAAACAGTTTCCTTTATCTTTCTTAAAGCTTGTAGGGAGACAATGAAATGGTACTGATCAGCCGGAGACAGACTGATCTATCATCATGCAATTAGTCAAATGTATTAGAGAGAAATTATGTTCAAAATGCAACTTAAAACTGTCCAAATATTGAAATTGTTGGCTGTACATTTGAGTAAATCTATGCAAAAAATGCCTAGAAAAACAAAAACATTTGATTTTAGTATGTCTTATGCAGAAATCAACTCCAAAAAGGGAGTTGAGTTTATAGCAAATTCTTACTCATTTAGTCTGGCAATTTAGCCATCAGATACTGAATCCAGCTCAGTCCAGGACCAGATGGTATTCATCCAGAAGTTCTAAAGGAAATAGTAAAATTATTAAATATGACCTCTTGCAAACATAATGCCAATATTCAAATAGAGTTACAGTGAAAACCTTTGAGATGAAGAGCCAGTTTATAAACCTGGCATCCACAGAAATAAATCTAGTGGGTACTGTAGCAACACATACACCTCTGAACACCTGGTCTACACTACAGAGTTTTTAAATGGCAGTCCTAACTTTCATGAATGCTTCAGGCTTTGTGTTTTGTTTCCTTAATGTGGAACATTGTCTACATTGTGCTAAGGGCATAACCCATGTTACTAAGCTGCTGTATTACTTCTGGGTTTGTATCTTCATTGCTTCTCCAGCAGGAGTTTCTCAAGCCCTGGATAATTCAACGTATGCAGCAATCAGTGTTTGCAAATAGTCTTGAAATACTAATCTATGCTGAAGGATCAAACCTGGCATGGATTTGGATGCCAGAAAGAACCAGGAGAATCATGGAAGTGGTATTTCAGTAGTAAAGAGACATCATAGACAAGTAGGAGGCCATTGTGTCAGAGTGAAACAGGGAACAACATAAAAAATAGATGTGAAAAGGAATTATGAATGAAGCCCCATAGGAAGCCTTGCCTCAGCCATTCACCACTTTTAGAAATGTACCACAAAAAAAAGGAAAAAAGAGTGAGATGAAAGAGTTTTCTGCTGATGCTAGATTAGTCAAGGAGAGAAGAAGCAAAAGCTGACTATGAAGAGATGCAGGAAGCTCTTTCTGATAAAGCAGGGAGAATAAAAATCACTGCAATGTAGAAAACAAACATAATTCTTCATGAATATTGTAGAGCTCTAAGCTAGTTATCACTATGCAGGAAAGAGATTGCTGTAGTTACAATATTATTCTTCCATGTAAACATCAGTTCAATTTTCAGTAGTTATAAA